GTTCTAGAATTCTTTCTAACCCCACCATCAGCAGCTTTAGGAGACATCTCTATCCTCTTCTGTGTGAAGAAATAATGTCTTGCAGCCATGTGTGTATTTTTGCATTGAGGAATACAGGGTGAGCTGCATACCCTCTGCTCTGGGCCACGTGAGCAAGAGGAGAAGGAAGAGGACATGAGAATGGAGCAGTCAACAACATTCTAAGCCATCATCCAATTTCCTCTCCACCAATGTAGGGATGTACTGTGGGTTTTTTTCTGGATTTTTTAAACTGCTCCCTGGCCAGATCTGGTCCATTTTTAACCTCAGTCCTTTTCTTGCCATCTTCTGTCACACCAACGTTGATCCCATTCTATTTGGTTTTGGGAGAGTTATCTTGCTGATGGAGAGGCAGACAGAATCCTGAAATTTCTTTCTCATTTTCTGTTTCTTTGTTGGAAAGAAGAAAGGCCAAAGAGTCCTTCCAAAGCAAGGAAGGACTTTATTTGGAAAGGCCCTGTTTCAGATCACACCCAGAAGGAGCACGGTGCTGGAAGGCCTGGATTGAATTTGCATTATTACTGTTTTTCATTATTTTGCATTATTTCTGTTCTCTAGCTTTAGAAAAAGCCTAAGTTGTACTTGTGAAACATACTGGATTAACTGTTATGCAGACTTTGTGGCTGGAGTAGAGAAATTTCTTGGCTCCCTCCAGGCCTTAGTAGTTTATTTATTTTAATGGCAGGATGGTTGACCTTTCTAGTGTTGGTACATTTAGGTTTCCTGCTCTTTGGTAAGCATTTCTTTTACATTTCAAATTGCAGATGTACGACTAGCTCTTGCAAGACTTCTTTGAACTGGAGTGATTATTCCAGAGTCTAATGACCCCCAGCATTGTTCTGAACCAGTGTTTCTCAACCTTAGCAACTTTAAGATGTGTGGACTTCAATTCCCAGAATTCTGGGAGCCCAGGTCCACACATCTTAAAGTTGCCACGGTTGAGAAACACTGTTCTGCACATTCTGGAGCATAACAGTTTTGTGTGAAGTTTTGCCTGGGCATTTTTTTAAAAAAATCTCCATCTGGTAAGCCACCATATTTGGATGATTACAGTGTACTCCAGGTCAGTTTTCAGGGCTGGCTTTGGAAACAGTCCGGAAAGATCAGTTGACACAAAATGCAGTGACAGGATTATTGGCAGGAGAGCCCCACCGGTGTAGAATGACAGCTATAGTAAAGTTACTGCATTCGTTGCCAGTCGGCTTCTAGGCCCAATTCAAGGAGCTGGTCATTGCCTTTAAAGCCCTAAATAGCGCAGCACTGGGATACATCAGGCAACATCTTGCCAAAATTGAATCTGCTCATTGAGGTCTATCTGCTCATTGAGATCTACCTACAGCCCTTGACCCTGATAGTTAAATGGAGCTTCCTGGTTCAGTGGCATTTGGTCCCTGAATACCACATGTTGATAGCCAGAAGGCTGTTGTTTTCAGACTGCTGGTGTCTTTCCAAGCCACAATTACTGTGAGATCACATGTTGGTAGACCAGAGTAACAGTCCTTGACTTGGTATGCCTGCTAGATGTCTTGGATTTCAATTCCCATAATCCCCAGCAGAATGGGCAGAGGCTGTGTGAGCTCTTCTTAACCTCTGCATATTGCTTAGAATTTTGTATATGATGTATAAATGAGTAAATAATCCAGAAGGGTTTGGCTTATCTTTTGATACTTCCTATTCCAAAGTTGGCTTAGGAGCACTTTTGGGGTTGAATGGATGAGAGCCTTTTCATGATTTCCTTGTATATCATTTTTAATGTTGAAAAGACTAAAGGATGTATCTAAAGCTCTTTTAAGGAAGCCTCTTGCTTGATGCAACTTTTTTGGGAATGCCCGAGGTGTCTTCCATAAAACCCGCAGATGTGAGGGCTGCTGAAAAGTTTATACTAGGTATCTGCAGAGTTGGGCTCAGTGTCACGAGTCACGTAAAAAATGACATAGAAATATTTGCATGGTCATACCCCAAATCTGAGAACCTTTTTGATTGCTTAACTGAATATGATTGTACAATTCTGAATTTAGAAAGCTTTTCTGAAAGAGCAGTCTGGAAATGGCAATTGTATACTTTCTGATATTCTTTGAGATGTCCACTCTTTGCCCAGTCGCGTCCCAAATTTAAATTTATAAAAACCTAATTTCTGCTTTGGGTTGTATATAGCTCTTTAGGAACAGTTGCTTGAATTCCATTCTTTGTGGTCCAGTTTCCTCTCCACCTTCTCCTAAACATTTTTGAATGAAAAATAGGACCATCATTAGCACACACAGATGTTGTTATCCTCCATCAGTATTAAGGGCACACTTTAGCTGCTAAGATCTTTTGAACTACTAATGTTTTGTTGAAGGGCAGCATCTTCATAGTGTACTCAGAAGAACGAGCGTGCTCCCATTTACTAAATCATGAGTATAATAGACGAGGCAACACTCAGTTGTGGAAAATAGCATGGGTGAGAGTTGGGCGTTTTCTTTGGCACGATAATTTGTGGTTGTATAAAAGTGTCTGTGATTTCATACATGAAATATTGGATGGTAGGATGTTGACAGTGTTCAGCTCCCGTCTTTCCTTTTAATTTTACTCTGTTGCATGAAGGACAGAAGCATGGGTTTGGCTCTTGAATAGTGGCAATGGAAGGATACCTGTTGAATAAAACAGTATCTGTGTAAGGTTGAAATAAATAACAGTCAACATAGGTAGCAGGAAGGGCTTTGGGGTAAAAAGATGAAATTCATCCTGTAATATTCCAGGCACTAAAATGTAGCAAACATATATTTCCAACTGTTTGTAAAGATCATAACTGAATTGCAAAGTATTTTTGCATTAGCCAGAACTGTAGGACAAGGCAGAATGTAAAATAAATCTGTTCTTTGCCCCATAGTCGACCCAAAGATGTGTTCCTTTTGGGTGAGTTCAGACATGGCTTATTGACAAAGCTGCAGTTGGCTTGTTCACACAATAAACACAACAAATCATAATAACTGTTGACCTACGATAAGCCCAAATACATTTTGGCTGAGCCTGGTGTGTGAACCAGGGTTTCCTATTGCATGCTCAAGTTTAAGGGTGATGCTTTCTTGTGTTTACTTTTAGGAGATGACATCTAACTGGGATGTGGAGTAGTTTGTCTTCGAATCTTAGGGTTTTATCACCATTACTTAGGCATTTTGGAAAATGTCTATTTCATGTGTTCACCTCTTGGGGATTTGAATTGGTTTAGGTCAGCAGTGGAGGTCTTAGAGAGTAGAAAAATAAACAGCGAGAAAGGAATACAATGGTGTTGGCTTTATCTGGTAATATTAGCTTTGATATTATCTGTGTCTGGACCAGATAAACATCTGGCAGGTATTCTTATTATTAGAGTTAGTCTTATATGCTGGTAGATTTGATAACGGGATTGAAAGAAAGCTGCATATAATAGGCAATTTTGATTTTGTATGTTTATAGCTGCAATCTTAAACTTGCTTTTTTGCTGTGGAAACAAATTGGGTAATAGTGAGTGGTATCTCCGAGCAAACACGCTTAGGAATGAGGCTGTATGTTAACAATTAGCTTTGAAATAAAAAAGGAACATCCTGTTGGAGTTGAATCTTATCACATTCTACATGTTTTAGTGTATAAATAAAATTGGAGGAAGGAGTGCTGTGTACATCGTCTTGGAACTCCTGGAGGAAAGGTGATATGTAAATATAACGGAAAAAAACCCACCCTAATTGTTTTCTGTGGCAAGGGTAAGGATTGACTCCTTGTGTGCTATTCTTGTAACAGTTCTATTTCAAAGATGCTTCAGTTGTTCAATATTAAGTAGGAGACCGCTTAGCAGCTCCTGATGGTGGGCTGGCTGAAAGAAAATAATGAAAATGCCTTCTGCATTTTCTGTCTCTAGAGCAGTGTGCAAATCCCTGCTCCTGGCCCCGTTCTTAGCAATTGTAGGAGAGCTGTGTTAGTTTATAATAGCTAAAAACCAGGAGGAGTCTGGTAGCAGCTTTTCCAACTAATAGGTTTTATTAAAAGACATCAACTTTCATGAGCTACAACTTACTTCATCAGATGTATAGAGTGACTAACCCGGTGTTTCTCAACCTTGGCAATTTTATGATGTGTGGACTCCAACTCCCAGAATTCCCCAGCCAGCATGCTGGCTGCAGAATTCTGGGAGTTGAAGTCCACACATCTTAATGTTGTCAAGGTTGAGAAGCACTGGGCTAAACCGATTGTAAGATTTAAATTGGGATGAAATGGGGAAGAGAAAGGAAGGAGAAGACAGATGCAGGTTACATGTGAGACAGATTTTAAGTACCTTATCAATGAAGAGTTGTAATGTGTTAAAAAGCCAGTATGTTTGTTGAGAGCTTCAGATAGCCTGAAACCTTTTGACATGAATTCAACAAGCTCTTGCTCAATTGTGCTGGTAAAGGGGCTACTCAGTTTAGCTTCTCCATGTGTCTGAAGAAGTGAGCTCCTTCTGATTCTTAGCAAATGTAAGACAAGAAAAAACGGGATGGTTTTGGCTTGGTAGACAAGAAGCACATTATTCTGTGATAAATCTGTGGTTGCTTGCTCAAGATAGACGATTGGGGTAGGGGTGCGTGGATGGGCAGAGGTATTTTGGATTGTTGAGAGCCTCTGGGGGTGACTGGTTGGGAGACCCATCTGTTCATAAAAAGACTGCTTGTGCATATCAGAAAGCATCCATTCACCAGCTGGTTGGATCTTTAGGGGCCCAAAGGCATTGTTGGAAATAAATAATGATGCTAGTATTTTACTTAATAGTATGCCAACTTCCTCTTTGTTTATTTTTTAAAAATAAAGGTTTAAAATCATATTTTTTCTTAAGTCAGGTAGGACAGGAAACCTGGTGAGCACCAAGGGAGGAATCTGGGACATATTGTCTACATTGACAATAGTGTCTATGTTGACACATCACCCACTAGCCAAAACAAAGCAATCCTTGTAATGGCTTAGCTTGGTATATGGACCCATTGGAAGGCCAGGATAATGTAGTAATTAGGGTGTTAAAATCTCTGCTCAGCCACAAAGCTCTTGAGAAGGTAGGGTGGCAACTTGAGGCCAGTTACTCTCTCAGCCCAACTCACACCATAGGGTTTTTTATGTGAAGATAATAACAATAGAAAATGTATGTAATGCCCCCCAGAGAAGATGGTGTGTCTTGAATGACCTGAATCCCTCAAGGGAGTCATGATACCTGTTTCATAATGCTTGTCCTTTCTGCCATTGGTCCACTGTGGCATTATTTATGTGAGTAACCTGATCTCCAAGTCTGATCTTCTTTTGTTCTGTTCTGGAAGGTGTGATTATTTTGACCTTGTATGGTACTATATTTGTGTGGTAGAATATGGTGATTTTTGGAAGTGAGGAGTTCACACACACACTATAGGTCAGAACTATTTTGATTGTGGTGTAACATATGTAGTCATCTCTCTCATGCTGGCTGGAGAATTCTGGGAGTTGAAGTCCACACATCTTAAAGTTGCCAAGATTGAGAAACACTGGTCTAGCAGGTCTGAGTTCTTAGCTGTCACTATATAACCCGAGTGTTCCTTCTGAGTGAGTGTGTTAAACAGGATAGGCCTATTTTTTATTTTTTCCCATTGACCTGAGTTACTTTTATGCTTCTTAAAGCACTTTATATGATATTAAGATACTCTTTGTGTTCCTGCAGACTCTATAGACGTTTTAAGCCAGGTTTCCACTGCCCGTCTTACCTCCAGTTCTGCCATGCAGTAAATTTATACTTTTAGGCAGGGGAGCTACGCATAAAGTAAGAGTCATATGTATCACAATAATTATATTTCTGAACCAAAATTGTGTGCATGGAAAGGAATTGTGTCTCAAGCTTAAACACCTATTGGCATTTGTCCACATTTGCTGGAGGCCAAACCTTCCTGCTTTCACTTTGGAAGAGGAGAAAGATTGTGCTCTCAGCCTCTGATGGATTCTTCCTACAAATATTCCCTGATATGAGGTATAATGAAATGAAGGACAGATATTGTGAAGGCGTTAATCCTGGCGAGGTTAATAAAAGCTATTGGACACGTTTTCTGCAAACCTGGCGCATATTTCTCAGTCTGCCCTAAATTACACAGTTCACACGTTTGCATGGATCGATTTTGGAGGGGGCCGAAGTCCATTACAACTTTCCATGATCCTTGTTTAACAGGATTCAAAAGAGCGACCTCTATTTGCCACCACCCTGGGGAAAAAAAAGAAACCTAATTAAAACTTTCTCCCGGCCCAGTCACGTGAAGATTGGGTGTTTCCTTCCCATCGCTCATCGAAACAATGATAAGGGGTTGAATTTGGGCACAGTAGTTCCGAGTTTCCAAGTAGAGGCGTTCTTTGCTGGAGGTGTTCTTTGGTTTGGCATCTCGGGCAATCTTCTCCTTGTATTTTGCAGAGCTGCGCTGCATCCCCGGGCAATTCACTTGCCGCAGTGGTTCAATCCAGTGCATCCCCTCCAAGTGGCAGTGCGATGGGTGGCCCACCTGTGAGGATGAAAGCGATGAAGTTGGCTGCCCAAGTAAGTGCGCTAAAGATGAACAGCGGGTCTCACCCTCGAAGCACTGGAAAGAGCAGGCGCGTCTGCTGGGCTCCAGGCCATCCATCGGAATTCTTGCGAGCCAAAGCCAGGGAGGAGATGCGCGTGTGTGTCTCTCTCCCTGTCCTCCATCTGATCCAGAAGCTTTGTTTTCAATTAGTCTGCATCCTGGGGAGTGCAGGATTCAGATCTTGGGAGGGTGTCCTCCCTGTAGCCGTCATCTCCTCCAGAAAGGCGTTGAGCTTTTGCTAGAGGTCGTGCGGTAGTTGTGCGGGCTCCAGAAAATAGGCGCTTAAATAAGGAAGCGAGGACAGGGTGTGTCCCCAGGTCCACCTTTGTCCGTTCTGGATCCAAATATCACACCCCCTCTAATCCGTAGCTATTTTTGTGGTGTACGTGAGAAACACTTTGAACAGGTTGTTAGCCGTTCCAATCAGCTGTCCCTCCCTCCCACCCCCAGTTTTTAAGCAAGTTTAACTCTTAGTCGTGTTTTTGGTTTTTAACAAGGTAAGTCATTCCCAGGGCCGAATAATTGTCTGCAGAGTCTCTTCTGCCCCAGATTGCTGACGAGTGGTTCAGTTTTCTGCCATTCAGAGGCAGGGCCTGTAAAAAGTTTACATAAGCTCCAAAACAAGATTAATGTTGCTTTACAAGCCAAGGACTCCACAAAAGCTCAGAAAAACAAAATTCTGTTCCCGTCTGTTTGTACCTGCACCCCGCCCACTAAAATTCATGGGCTCCTCCCAAATGTTGAGTGTGGTCAAACTGTTGCCCACCTCTGCTCTCAAATGCAATATAAAAAGACCTTGAGATGAGTCAAAAGTTCTGCTTCATATGTGTACAGCCGGGTTATTATTTTTATAAATTGGCTTTGACGGAAGCTGAAAAACCAGAATGTTGAGCAGGGAGGAAGCCTGCAGAACAAACCTTCATACAGTGGCCGATAAAATTCCATAAGAGGCATTTTTTTTTCTTTTTAATTGTTGGCATGAGTTTGCCAGCTGTATTCTCGTGCTCATCCTCAGTGTTGTGTTTAGTACAGCTAGCGACTTCTGTTAGTTTTGGCAGCCTGATTTCCATCTCGATTTGAAATAAAGCAGCGTTTTCTTGATTTTCAACACAGTTGTGTGCAGTTGAAATGAATTAAAACAGAACAGCAGCATGTTTCTGGTGATTCGTATTGCATGGAATATATAAGAAGCCAGAAGCAAAAACTTGACTGATTTTTAGAGCAATTGGGAAGGGCATACCGGTCTCTGAACCTGTGGGTTCTGAAAGCTGAGTTTATAAGTGCAGACTAGGCTTATAAAAATAATACAGGTAATTAACTACCAGCATGGTCCGTACAATATCAACATCAGACTTTGAAACCAGTGAGTTTGAAAGCAAATTGTTGCAAATAAAGTTAACTTAATGTTAACCAGCTTATAGTGGTTAACAGCAGCAAGTAATGAATGCTTCCACAGTTGGGTTGCGGAAGGAATGTTTGAAGTCTCTTTCTTAAGCAGCGAAAAGCAAAACGTAAATAAGTGAAGGGAATTAATCCGTTTTCAAGAGAGGCAGTTTAGACTTCCCTCTCTGATACTAATTTTGTGTTGGAATGTGTTGGTATCCTAGGATATGGTTGGCTGTGTTTGCCTTGCCAGAACAAAATAAAATAGTTTATACTATTTTAAAAAAGAGTTACACGTATCAGATGTTGTTCTGTGATAAACTAGTTGTTTGTGTAAAAAAGCAGTGCAGAATAAAGGTTTAATTTTAATCACTGTATATTTCCTGCAGAATATTGTCAGTTTCGGTTTCAGCAGTGGAGGTGCTAGGAACTCTTTTTTTTTCTCTCTCCTCCTCTTTCCAAAGTTTCTGGAATTTTTTATACCTAGGAAGCCTGTACTTCTTCCCCGATTCCCAGCTGAGCTATGTTCTGTACAAACTAAAGGAGACAATTGTGGGGAAGTTGTGATATTCCAGAATGCCCAGAATGATGGTCATCTCTCTTGTACGTGCAGTCATTCTTAATTGGCATTCTTGATCTCTGTTGGAGATCTGATTTGGTGAATTCTGTTCCCTTTCCCAGATTACAGAGATCTTAAGTATGTTTTTATACAGCCTGCTTGTTCTATTAGCCTCTTTCTGCTCCTTTGCAGCCAAAGAATTTAATCTACTTGGTATCTTAATACAATAGCTGAGAGCCCCTTCTGATAGTTTCAATCTTCAGTTTTCATTTCCTCCCACTTACTGCTCCCAGCAGATCTTTTTGTTACATAACAGCTCTTATTTTTGAGAATCAAATTCTATTATATTGAGAACCAGATTCTTCCGGCTTAAATCAAAGCCTTGGTGCTACAAAGCATGTGGGCCAGAAGAAGGGGCTGATGAATTCTTCCACCCTTCCGCCCGTGACACCCCTAACCCGGCGGTTTCATATCTTTGATCTTCTGCTCTGAAAGAATGGAGGCCTCTGACTGATACTGCCTTGATTGCATGCTTCACATTGCTGGAAGGATTTACACAACCTGCACTGCTCCCTTGTGCTCGAAGCCTCAGTCACATGAAATAAGGTCCAGCTGCTTTGGAGGAATGAACAGCTTTGCCAGTTCAAGCAAGAAAACACAAGCTTCAAAGCCTCAAGGCTGTGCATTATTGCTCTGTGTGTTTTAGAGGTTCCCAGTCTTTTTCAGCGGTGGAAGTGGTGGGTTTTCCTTGGTGTTTACTTGGCAACAACATGTTTCGCTCCGAATAGGGCAAGCTGTGCGCCTACTTGCAGTCCAGGAGCTAATGTGGAGAGCCCCCTGCAAGCAAACAGTTTTGCTAAGAATGACATTTTTCTCTCTTGCAGCTTGCTGTTTAAAAGAAAGAGAAGTGGCTGTCAGGAAGAGATACTTTATACATTGCCTTGGAACAGAAAAATTTCCAGGGCACTTTGCAATGTAATTAAAATGTTATTTAAAAATAAACCAATGTGAAAGGCCATTGGTTCATTATTATTATTAGATTTTTATCCCACCACTTACTTACTTCCTTCCTTCCTTCCTTCCTTCCTTCCTTCCTTCCTTCCTTCCTTCCTTCCTTCCTTTCCTC